TCCTCTGCCTGGTAAGCAGTTCTATTGATCACTTTGAGCTCTAGTTTTAAGCAGGGCTAATTGATCAATCACCACAATTTGCTTTGAATAAATGGATCATGATTGGTATGTCCACCAGCAGCTTTCTCCTTCCAAGAAATACCTACCTTCAAATAGTATTTAAGTATAACCAATGTATGCAATTTTTAACCTTTTTTTCCCTTTTTTGCATAATTTATCATGCATGGTATTCTACAGTTGGCCCAGAATGATGTTGCTCCCTGTTCATTTTAGAACTGATTATAAAGTTTTGACATCCACTGTAAAGCATAGAACCAGTGGCATCTGGTGAAAAATATTCTTGGTGGGACTGATGTAAAAATGCATTTTTATCTACCTATACTAATTTATATATGAAATAGAATCAACAATGACATAACAAATAAATTGAATGGTAACAATTTAATCTCCTTCTTAAAGTGTCCATTTTTTACAGATAACATAAATGAACAATTTTCATTTGTTTAATTGACCATAATTCTACATGCAGAAATACAATAATCAACAACAATTCCCAGTAGGATGAGGAAAATCTATTACAGTTTTCCAGGTTAGAATTATAATTGTTGTTATTATTATGATTAATATTGCAAATAAGTCACAATAATTCACTTTCTTAACAGTAATTAATATGTTATATATATTATAACCATATTTTTCATTTCTGAAATTTTATAAGTTAACAAAGGCACTATGATCAAAAATAAAGAAAATGTGTAAAACAATATTTATAGATGAATTTGAAACATAAAGTAAAGTTATAATTTTTGCCATTTTTTTATGCTTTAGCATTTTAAAGGAGAAGTTCGGTTTTTAACACTTTAAGCCCATTTTCTGTAGTGTCCAGGATGAAATCGAATGATCGACACCAAAATTTTGACAATTGGTCCTGTCTCTGCTTTTTGGCTCATTTAGAATCCACCTCTGGCTGCTTCAGAATGGCTTCCATTGTGCATGTCCGATAATGTCCTTAAAACAACCTTAAACGTTCTTTTTTTTAAATATGCTACTCACCGGGTCGTCAGCGCTGTTCAATGACGTTCCAAAAAAAGTTTCGTGAAGAAAAAACGTTCCTGTAGTGTTTTATTTAGCATTTTGTAAATCCCATTGAGTTCTGTTGGAATAGTCAATATTCCCCTGCCACCGGAAACGGAAATGGGGCCTGTTTACACAGTTGTAGTCTTTTCGCTTCACTCTGTGTACTCCGACGTCGAGAATCAAGAATCCACCTTTCGTATTCCATTTTCAGAGTTTTTTAAAGTGTTTAACAGAGACGTTAGCACCTCGACTACTCACCTCGTGAGTAGCATATTTAAAAAAAAGAACGTTTAAGGTTGTTTTAAGGACATTATCGGACATGCTCTATGGAAGCCATTCTGAAGCAGCCAGGAGTGGATTCTAAATGAGCCAAAAAGCAGAGACAGGACCAATTGTCAAAATGTTGGTGTCGATCATTCGATTTCATCCTGGACACTACAGAAAATGGGCTTAAAGTGTTAAAAACCGAACTTCTCCTTTAACAACGTTGCAGGTTTTATTTAAAAGTATTACTCCACTGTCTGAAGGGAATTTGTACTTTTAAATTACACTGATCTTAAATTGTTTTCTTTTATTTCCTACCATTTTTTTCAGCTTTTGTTGTCATTACACTGTCAAAAGTACAGACCAACAAACTGAACTTTCTGCATTTAACCCATCCCCTTGGGGAGCAGTGGGGCCTCATTGTGCAGCGTCTGCGGCACAGTGTGGGGCTTAAGGGTCTTTGCTCAGGGACCCAGAGTGACAGTATGTGGGAGTGGGGCTTGAACTCAGAACCTCTGGATTCCAACCGCAATGCCCTAACCAATAGGCTGCCACTCCCCTAATCAGCATGTCATCTAGATAAATAAAGATATAAATTATCCCAAGCCAAGTCCACCTGGGATGATATACAGTAGAGGATGCTTAGAGAGAGTGTATATATAAAAAAGATTTAAAGGAAAACTTTTCAAGTAACTTTTCCTTCTCCCTCCAGATGTCATCTAGATGCCACCCCATTTGTTTTATTAAGGTTCTGATCCTTAGATATTAATTGGTAGTAATGTCTATGTTCTAGATCTATATCACTTGATAATCATCATTTCCCCCAGTGGTCTGGTGCCCTTTCATCATGTGAGACTATGAGTATAGCTTTTCTAATCTTCAGATTTTAAAATAAATAAATAAATAAATTGCCAGATTTTTCTAACTTTAGAATTTGCAGGAACTTTTGAAATTGCTGTGAAATTATGTATTTACACAGGCATCAAAAACTGGATGGCATTAGTCTTAGACCAGGAAACAAACTTTGCCCTCTTTGAATATTGTTTCGTCTTACTAGCTCATCAATATTGCAAATGGTTTCACAGATATAAAGAAAGGCTCAAGAGAGATCAATCAAAAAACAGTCAATGGAAAAAACTGAAAAATGTTATGTCACCCCACATTGCAGCAGGGGATGAACATTTAAATTAAGGATGCTTTTTGTTCTTTTAATCTAGTTTGGAAAAAAATGTTTACTTGGTAATAAACCTAAGAAACTTGGGCTTACTTTGTTATAATGAGCTTCAAGAATCAGCACTTTCATAAAGACAGATACCATAGATAGCTTTGAATTTACATGTTACTCTCTGGGACAGTCAAGAACAAAAAATTGAGATGCTTTTAAAACATTTTTCCAATTTTACCTGTCTCTCTATGAGTGTTGCTGATGCATAAGACACAACTAGAGCCCCTGCCAGGAGGGACTTATACACAGACCAAAACAGGAAGGCCAACCACACACAATCACATCCCCACATGCAGCTTCAAATCCCTCCCTCTGAATGACGGACATGCTGACTGACCACTTGTGACTCCACAGGGGCTTTGTTTCCAGTGTGCATAAGGGTGGACTGGATATTCCAGCTGGCCTGTCTTGGGACTCCCAATCGCGTGTGAACTGAACTCAGAGGGAGTTGTGGCTAACAGGTCCAACGCTGAAACACTTCACAGGATGAAAAGGTCAGCTGGGGTGAGTTCAGCTGGGTAAACCAGGAATAGTTTTCCTTATTGCTTAGTGAATTGTTTTTAATAACCCTCTGCTCATAGGAGATGCTATTGTTAGTACTCCACTTCAGACAAACACAATAAAAGATAGTTATAAAGTAATCGTTTTACCTATTTTGACAAAATAATAACACTAAAGTTATATCAAACACAGCTGCTAATGAATTTCCAACAGCACACACATTAAGAAGAAATAATATAAATCTGTTCTTATTAGCAAACATGAAAATAAAAATAATATATATAATAAAAATAACCAATTAACAACATCTATGCAATGCTTCAATACTTTATGTTATCCAGATTTCAACTTCTTATCATTATCCATCTGTAGCCATATTCTTGTTGAAACACCAAATCATCCCCACCTCCAAGCGTTCACTTAACCTTGACCAACTAACCAGCAAAATAGATATACTTCTTACCCGGCTTTCCTAATTGCAGACTGTTTGGTATGAGATCACACTTCCACCCAACAACCCCGGGTGTGAACTTAATTGTGTACACTCAGGTATTGGATTTCAGGCTGTGTCAGAATCTAACAGCAAACGAAGAAAAACAGACAGAGTGAACTTGACAATGAGAGAGAGTGCGACAGTGTAAGAAGAGAGAGTGTGAGGCGCAGACCACCCAACAGCTGCAAAGGAAAACAAAGCCGGCTCTGCCAGAGAACAGACTCGGATCCGATCGGTCGGAAGTAGGACAATTGAAAGCTGTTGTGTGATAGCTGTTTGCCAAGATAAAACAAAACTAATAGAGAGTGTAGAAGAAGGACTGGAAGCCTCATCTTATATGTTTTACAAGTTAGTTCTTAGCTTTCCACAGCATAGTAGAAACTGTTCTTCAAAAATAATAACATAGAAAAAAAATCCCATACGTTTATCTTATGTAATGAAAGCAAAGCCTTTTAACATTCAATGGCAATATCAAAAAAGACTCTAAAAGGGAAATGCAATACTGTATTAACCTTATGAGAAGTTCTTTTAGTGATGGCCACAAGGGGAATTAATTTGTGTTTAATGTTGAAGCTGGTATCTGGATGCTTGATTTATTTCACAGATGAGACACAGTTAAGATTGGAACGCATGTGTCAGAGGTCTAAAGGAAGCTTTGACCTGAAAGTTTGTTTTTTGTTTGATTGTGGTCTACAAAAATATCATAAAGCTAGCACTGAAATTTATATATTGTGAAGTTTTTTTTTAATATATGTTCACCACAACAAAATGCATAGATTCCTGTCTATCAAGCTTGATTTTAGAAACACATTAAAAATGTTAATGTTCTTACTCCCTTACAAAGCAGTAATGTTTTTTTTTGTTTTTTTTTACACAGTTGCTCAGTTTAAAGGCATATGTTGGACACTTAGTAATGTGGTGTGAAAAGCTCAACTATACTTAATAAATAAATAAACTGGTAGGGGACACAATAGATTTTTCTATGTGGGTTGGGCCGAATTGTGTGGAGGCGTGCTCTCAGTTTGTGGCACCAGGTGAAAAATTCCAATATTTCTTTTATTAGTGTTTCTCTGTCAGACTGATCCTTAAAATTAAACCCTTTCTTTGATTATGTATAATTACAAATAGTTTATTTTTAGCTCGTCTAAAATCTTATTGAAACCCATCTTCTTTGTACAGTTTACCGACTATTTGTACTTAGAGACAAGTTAATCATCAGAAAATGCAAAAACAAAATCCAGCTTTTTGTGGTAAACCAGTAAGAGAATGGACATTTCTTTAAGCTGTTTTACCGATCAGTTAATTTTCCAAATCTCAAAATATGAATTTGCCCAAAAGGAATGTATCTAAAGTTGGCATCTACCTGCGGAAAGTGTTTTATCTTTCCTATAATCATCCATAATGTTACGACTAGATGTTTATGCATGAAAAGACAGTTACCTTCTTTTCCAGCTGAGAAGATGTGAAGGTTTGTAGCAGGGATTTTTCCTCAGGACACGGGCAGGTTAATTGACCTAAAGAAAGATCAGTACAGTATCTTAGCACTTAAAATCTCTGGGTTCACTTTTTTTTTTTTTTCCACAAACATTAACAAAATTTGCCATAATGTAGAAACCACTGTAGTACCACTAAAGTACAATTATGTAATGACATCATATAAAACAGAAAATCTACATGCAGAAAATAAAAAAGAACAACCTAAGTAAAACATTTAGAGAAAATTGAATAAGAATATAAACATTTTCACCCAGAAAACAGAGACACCTCTAAGATTTAGAAGCATAAATTTATCCAAACCTCTTCTGTTTTCAAGAACAATTAATAAATTTAAATGTTTTGGGTTTCTTCAAGACTTTTTAATATTTTTCTAATAAGTTGAATGGGTGAAGTTAGTCATTTTCCCAAAGATCTCATGTTTTAGCTTAAACAACAGGTAAAAGAAGTCACAATGCTGTTTGATTGGAGCTCTGATTTGTTTGATACAGAATGGCCATGTTTTAAAATTGCATATGGGTTTGGTTATTCTAAATACCAAAAACAGGGAAAACAAAAATAAACATAAAGGGGAATTATATACATATTATAGACATATTTCAATCTTCAAACATTTTATCTTTATTATTTGTTATTAATTAATCCACCTCATCTGATTGCCAACTGTCATGATTGTCATACAATCGCCCTCTGCTTCTGAACGACACCTGCCCACCCGACCCACCTTTAACACTCGCATGTACACACATAACGCAACGTCTTCATTTGTCTCTGTCTCATTTATATGGAAGAGGGCAGAAGGGAGGATGGCTAGTCCACAGCAGAGAGGTCAACATGCTGAAGGAGTTCATCACTCTGAGATGTCAGAGGTGGAAATGTGACGAAGCAGTACAGCATGTTTTGATTCAAAACAGTTTGGAAAATAAAAAGCTGAAAGATAAAAAAAACTGAAACTGATTATTTTGTCATTAAATCTAATAAATTATTTAAAATAATTCAAAACTCCATAAGAAGGTGCAACTAATAAAGGTAAGACATATTGTATGCACCATATTTCTGTTTAATGGTTTTGAGAGAAAGAAGAGAGAAGAAGGCTAGAAATTCATATTACTTCCATGAGATAACTCCACCAGTATAGTAAAGATTACAAACAAAAAGGATTAACTCTCTGCCACGACATGTTTATAAGATTTAAGGTTTTGTGTTGACATAAATAAATAGGCCTAAACAAAAGTACAGGTCTGATTTTTTATTTTTTATTTTGGATTAATCACACCTTCACCATACCTACTAGGAGCTAGAATTAGGTAAACATCTCATAAAAGTTTCAAATCTTGATGAATTTATTTGTGACAATGATTCAGATTTTTTTCTTAACTTTAAATGGCCCTTTGGAAGTCCATTACGTTGCACTGGATGTGCCAGCTTCTTAACTAGAAAAAGGAATAAGGTCCAGACAATTGTGTCTGAATTTGCTTCCATTTCTTTATAACAGAAGCCTGTAACTATTTCTGTTGGTGGGATTCAAATGGGTTAATCTTCTTTAAATTAAATTAAATTTAAATTTTTGATAGTGGGAAACATTAGCAAGTAGGCCATAAATAAAGACTCACCAAACCACCTGAAAGGGAAATTAACAATGAAACATACAGTAGGGGATAGAGACATAAAATAGCGATCGGTGTCAATTTAATTAGGATATATATTAGGATACTATGATAAACTGACAGAGCACAGGTAAAAAACTATTTTGTTGTATACATGAAAACCTACTACTTCGTATGAAATCAGAGTTTCAGAGGAAATGCTTAAATACAAATGTTTTATGAAAGAAAACGGTGGCATTGGAGGTAATGGGTGCAGTGAGAAAGTTGGGTAAAGGAAGTTTTCACTCCTTTCTTCCCAGTCTGCCCCTGGCCTTTCCAACTTCCAGTCACATGCTGAAAGAAGCCAGATACAAGCAAGGTAATCACCAGTTAATAAGAAGCTATATTGAAAACAGACAGCTGGTCAAACATAACAAGCTTCAAAGATTCATGCACGTATTTGTACACACACAATAACATTGACAATTAAATGCATAATCACACACAAAGATGTGTAATTGGAGCGCTGTGCATGGCAAAGTAGGCTACTTCAGAGCAGAACAATCATTGAAAATCGGTAAAAATATCGAAAAGCACATGTGCAAGAACCAACAAAATACACTGCCTCCTACCAGACCCAGATCATTTTTCTACCCCTGACTTTAGCCCTTTGCCACCATCATAGCAAAGTGCAAGCATATGAAAATGAAATATCAGTTATTTCATAGTAATATATCAGTTAACCATTTAGAAAGCAGCATCCTTTTGGGTTTTACGTATGAGAATTTGCCTATTTTTTCCGGCCATATGTAGTAATATCAAATAAAAAATATTTCAACGAGCAATAATTACATTTTACATTTCAAAACGATTCAAATAAAGTAAGACTAAAGAAAATGTTAACAAATCGCACTAAAAACAATGCATCAGATTTTGTTCAAGCATAGTTTTTGGCATATGGTACAAAGATTTTTTTATGTGTGACGTTTTTTAGTCTTCCAAAATCCAGAGGAAGCAGAGTGATAGGCTGTGTCCGAATGTCCGCCCTAACTTCTAGATCCCTCAATCACTATATAGAGGATGGACTATATAGTGAACTTTATAGTGAACTCAGTTAACTGACCGTTCGGAGAGATGATCACTACTTTTCGCTTCCCGTTGGTCTCGTACCTCCATCTCCCCACACTGTGCCAGTGCTATCTTTATCTGTCGCTGCTATCAGGTAGCGACAACGGGCCGCTAGGACAACAAATCCCATCCACACCACACAGTGAAACAGCTGGTCAGAACGCTCTCTATTGTGCTTCTGTAGAAGGTGGTGAGGAGGGGCAGGGGCAGGTGGACTCTCCTCATCCTCCGCAGGAAGTAGAAGCGCTTCTATGCTCTTTTGACCAATGAGGTGGTGTTCTTAGTCCAGGTAAGGTTGTCTATGATGTGCACCACCAGGAATTTGGTGCTGCTGACCACACCGACAGCTGAGCAGTTACTGAGCAGTGGAGCATGGTTAGGCTGGTTCTTCCTGAAAGCAACGATTATCTCCTTTGTCTTCTCCATGTTGAGGATCAGGCTGTTGTCTCTACACCAGCCCATCAGTTGCTCTTTTCTACAGTCCCGGTCGTTGTCGTCTCTGATTAGGCCCGCCACCTTAGTGTCATCTGTAAACTTCACAATGTGATTGGTGGTAAACATGGGGGCGCAGTCGTGTGTTGCAGTTCAGCGTGAACAGCAGGGGGCTCAAGACGCAGCCTTGAGGCCAGCCTGTGCTTAAGGTGATGACCAGTACTCGAGCTGAGGTGGGATGAGGGAGGATGGCATCCCCCATCAAAAAAAATCTTAAAAATCGTCCCCCTTCTTGAATGACCGTCCCCCCCATACCATCCCCTGTGACATTTTATGACTTAATGTTTAAAATTCAAGGTCAATGACCAGCGTACCTGACAAGTAACAACCATACCCAGCATATTGCTTTAGGTTAATAGACTGTTATAATTAGGCTATGTATACTCTCCAAAAAAAATGTAAAAATCCACCATCCCCCTCCTTTGTTTTTAACAACTAGACTACTGGTGACTTTGATTGACATAGCAACACAGATGCTGAAATCTGATTGGACAAAAAATATAGCAACCACATAAATATAACGGACGCAGCACAACCAAATCTGAGGAAAATGTAAATTTAGGTTGTGAATGTAGGTTAGTGTTTCTGATTTATTTTAGGCCAGCAGTGAAGGCCTTGAAGGCCCTCACAGCTAACTGACTGACTTTCAAAACAGAGTGTTCTTGCTGGTTTACCTTGTTTTACTTTGTAATTTCAATGTGCTCATAGTGCCATTAAATCGTATGATGTGATTTTATCGGATATTTATGGTATAGGTATTGTTCTTGGTTCTGGACTTCTTAACTATTTTTCAGCTCAGTTTAAAATAAAATTTTATCAATCTACTTTCTGAAGAAAACTGCAAAAAAATCTGGTTCTGTAGAGAAAAAGGAAAAAGGGAAATAAAATCCACTTGCAGAAAATGCATACACATACAGAGTACCAAATAGCATCTTTTCCAATGTATTTTCTTTTTTTCACAAACACAACCATTCATCCTAGAAGAGCATGAGTCCCTTGTGTAAAGCATACCCCATGTTCTGCTTACACCATCAGCGGCATCAAAAGAGACAATCTATGTCCTCCCCTCTGTCTTCTTTTTTCATTTGAGTGACTATGAGCGGTAGCAGCAGCAGCTGCAGCATCTCTCCGTGCTTGTGCTCAGCCGGGGTGAGGCAATAGGTTTAGCAGGCGAGGAGGCGAGGCAGATTTATGGTGGTGGATGTGACCTCTGGGGCCGTAACACGGTGATGGGTGAGTGGCTCTCAGCGGTAAGCTACTGGCACTTGACAAAGTGCCCGAAGCAGAATGAATTTACTTCTCTTTTCCTCAATCATCAAGCAGCCACTGCCCTGACCCCCATCCTGACTGCTATAACAAGATCTCCCATCTCACAAGGGTCTGAAAAATTTACTGTCACATCTACTTTTCAATGAGCTCAAGTGAGCACTTCTTTCACCTTCAGCGGAGCAGGTGCTGGTGTCGAGTGGGGCTAACCTGCCCCCTGCATGAGTTTGTGAGTGCATACGTTTTATGCGCGCATGCATGAGGGGGAGACAGAGGGGTGAACTAAAGAAATCTACGTGCACAGGTAAGGTGGTCAAATCCCCTCTCTTCCTATATTCAAGCACAGACTATAATAGAGTATTTGAATAAATGCAAAGTAAAACAATTTTATAAAATTAACAGTTAGTGCCAAAAGACATAGAGTTATCCCAAAGTATGCAATGTTCATAAAACGTGAATGTGGTTTTCTTTGGCACACCGAAGTGTAGTAAGGTTACCAGGGACACAGAGGGCAGAACTGTATGGATGTCAATAGACAGCTATTCCGA